TTCATTATAAAGTTCACAGGAAATATAACTTTTTATTCTGTAATTTTAAGTGTAGTCAGTGGGCAGATTTTTTTCTATCAGGCTTTGGCTGTTTCCTTTCTTTTGGTCTTTATGCTAAACTAACAAAAACAACAAGTTATTCTAAAAGCACACTATCGCATTAGAGTTTGAGAGTTACTCAGTTCAAAAACAGCTTTTAAAGTCAGACTATGTAAAAATACCCGGGGCCAATCATATGAATATATCACAATTGTCAGAGGTGTAACAGAGAGTAAAGATCAGAGCTGGATTACTGAATAGAAGTGAAGATCATGAATGTCAGCATGAATTGTCTGAATCAACCCAATCTGTCAAACCACTACTGCTGCTCTATTTAATGATAGTCAGAATAATCACATACTTGGTAATATGTATAATTAATGCAGTATACAGAACAATTGACCTCTGACCTTCTCCAGTGCGTCTATGATGCAGGCTATTAATTTCCTCAGGGATGATGAACATTCAATAAAGCTGTTAAGTCACCCTGACATAAACTGAATCTATGCCCATTAAATGTCAAAGGACGTGTTGCAGGAGCTTCATCCTTTTCATTTCTGAAGGATCGTAAAATTCAAACTGAGAGATTTGCACAGCAGCTGCGAGCATGTGGATGTGAGCCGGAGCCATGTCATTTGAAAAGTGAGGCCTGTCACTGATGACGGGCGATAACACATTTCCATTCTACATGTAGGGACGAAGAAAATGTTTACGATCAATCCAATGTGACAATCTTCACATCTGCTATCAGCGTGTCCAGCCAGGAGAAATGAACACTGTTACTCTTGGATGATGTTCACCATTTTGAAACTTAGACCGTGACAGCTGCTCTCTCTGGGAAACCTGTTCTTCTATTGTAACATTGGGTTTTGATTTAAGACAACCAATAATGTAATTCTGATCATTATAATTTAACTTCTTACTCTTGTCATTATCATTATGTTTAACATCATCGCAAGCTTTAATGGCAGTGGCTAATTGTGTTCCCATTGTTGACCTCAGAGATGTTGATTCGTGATGTGAACACTCCCCACAGCTGTCATCATTATTATCCTGCTGTTAAATAGTATGTCAAAACATGTCTTCAGTTCTAATAGTTTTATTTTTATTTACAACACATTTCCAACCTGATGATTCACCAAACAAAATGATTTTTCTCCTCAGGACCAATGAGATCAGCTCAAGCTATCTGCATGAGTGGATTTGCCACAGGGAATACATCTCCCTCTCACCTGTCTCGAATGATGGAGCAGAAGGTGAAAACAAATTATCACAAGTCTTTTTACACAGTTTTTTCTTGCATTATCAGTGTCTCTGTAACCATGGTGAGGCATGTCAAGTCATGGGTATAGGGAAAGCTGTCAGTCTGGAGTCTACAGCTGTAATCTTCTTTCTTTGGCGATGTCAGTGGATTGTCGGCATGCGTGAGTTACCTTGGCAGGATGAACAAAGAGTGCGGGATACCCGAGGAAGCCTCAGCACCGTGTGAAATCCCTTTGTTGAGCTGTATCGAGTCTCACCCAGACATTGGCTCTTTCATGCATCCCTTGTCTGCTCATCCCTCTGTCTTTTTATCTTTGCCAAATGACAATTATAGGCTTATTTCACATATAATAGACATGAATCATTTATATTACATCGCCGAAAAGTTGGCAGATGATCGGTGCCAGAAAAGGAAACAAGGACAGAGAATAGCAGTCTAGTTGTAGAGAGAGTGCATACAGTACATTGTGTTTTTATACCTGTAACTATTAATGCATCTTACAGTTACAAAACATACACTAACTGCACGACTGATAATCACTATTGAGGGTTTATAAGAAGCAACTAATGCCTTTGTTAATGCTTTACCAGTAACAAGCCATTAATATAAACAACCATTGAGTTACCAGGATTGTGAAAGAGCCCTCTGTGTGTTTATCCATTTTAGTAGTAATAATGCACATCTAAATGCTGATAAAGAGTTAACATATACTTGAGGGTTTAACTTTTTCTAATAACCTGATAAGTCAATCTCTACAACTTAATAAGCTGTCATTAAAAAGATATGACCCATGCCTGTTTTTATAAATGGTAAATTATTAAAGGGTCAAAAAGACAACCAACAAAAGAGAAGTATTTCATCCCTGTCACCTGGCAACAGGAAATGTTGGTCATATTAATGGCATATACCTGACATAAAAATCATATGAATATCATTTAATAGCCATTAATAAAGCAAGTACTTAAAACTCAGACTCTTTTTAACTTCCTATACTGACCACATTTTCAAGCCTCAAAGAGATCACTATCTTCCTTATGTAAGACAGAGCTCAGTTTCTACAGAGTGGACTTAAAAGACAGCCCACATATGGTCAAAAGCAAATATAATCATGTGATGATGCCGATGCCAGTGTTTTTTTTAATCCTGTCCATTCCTCCTGCTAGCAGGGAAAATGAATAATCCACTCCCAACTGATTCTTTCTCCAGCCAGAGGTAATGTCACGTCCTTAGGGATTGAAAGGTTAATTAACTTCAACATTTACTGATGTGTTAAACAGATTAACTCAGTGTATATCCACTGACTAGTATGAAAAAATACAAGAATAAACCGTAAATATGCAGGTCAGATGTCGCACCAGCACCATCATCTCTGACCAAAACTATCATATATTTTATATTGTCAATATACACACAACCAGAGGCACAACTGAATAAAGTATCCCAGTGTACAGGAAACCAGCAAAGTAAACAACTCAGCTGTAGCTACCCTGCAGACTGGTAAAATAATGAATCACTCACATGTCTCGCAGTGAGTTGGTGCTCCTGTCAGTATTCAAGCCTCCATTAGAGATGTTTCAGTAAGAAATGTGTGTTTTTAAACTTTAAGGCACTGGGTGGGCAGGAGACCGGTGAGTTTACAGTGTTTGTGTCTCTGAAGGACGACACTGTGTGGAAAACAGATGAAAATTGGATTAGCAATTAGCATGGAGCCATCTTTCTCAGCAAAGCTTGAGTGACAACACACACAGAAGGAGACTTCTTTGCTCAGGCCACCATTAATCCACCACATCTTTATGTAGGAAATGGCTGTTGTATTTATCTTTAAAACTGTGTATATAACCTTCAAGTTTTATTTCAGTCTGGCGTGGTGGAGGTATTGACAGCCTTGGGAGCTCAATGTGTTGTTGTTTTTTTTCATTTTTATTTTTCGTCCACTCGCTTGAGAGTGGTTGTTTGGCCAAGGTGCAGGGCGTTGTGGGAGTATGGAGCCCCAGCTGCACTTTGCAGATACACAGGCCTGTGCTTTCATGCCCACACCCATCAAAATGGCCCTGTCAGGCTGCTATCTCCCGGGACTCGCTGCTGCAGTACAGGGGGATTAAAGCTTTTTATGAAGCATTTTCACAGCCAAAGGTGTGAGCAATAGCAGTCTGTGTGCCATTTACCACAACAAGGGTGGACTTAACCATGCTGGACTCTGGAGCCAGAACTGTCCTGGAAGGAATTTTGCATCCAATTTGGACAACTAATTAGGCTACAAAGGAGTGAGACAAAGAAAAGAAAACAATCCCCCTTTTCTAGCACATTGTTCACAATACAGTTAATTATGCTCACAGAGAACTGGGGGAAACTGGGCCAGGACTACATGTCCTGACTGTGAGGATTCCCTTACAATGAATTGTTTTTGTTTATCTTTGCATAAGAATTGTGAGTCTTGGACAAAAAAATACCTAATTAAATCTGTGTACTCATTATATCATTTGATCAAAATGTTGCATGTTGTTGTAGTGGGTTTGATTCGCTTCTATATTTCAGTTTCTTCTCATCAGTGTTAGTCTGTGATGCACTGATTAAATCCTGATGCAGAGGCCAGTCTTGATCTGTGCACACATTGGAACAGCGTTTTTAAATTTAGCTCTGCAATCTGTGACAATTAACAATCCCTTTGGCCCATGTGTGATAAATTGCTTGTAGGAGAAACCCATTTGTTACAGCCTTATCTGTGAGGCTGCAGTTTGGAAGACTGACTTATCCATTATCAGACAGCAGTGAAAATGAGTGGAAACCAAACACAGATTATGGCATCAGATTTAAGCTATTTCTGACTGGGGTACATTTGCATGGAGACTACCCCAGGTTATGCTTGGTTGTTTGGCGTCCAATCATGGTTTAATCAACAGATCCAGACATCTGCAGCCAAATACTAAAGTAGGTTTTGAATTTTAAAAAGTGTGTGCTTTATAAAAAAATGAATCCATTATCTCTCCTGCTTCTCCTTTAAGGGCCAGGGGGAGGCTAGAGGCAATTCCAGTGGACTAGGCGAGAGGCGGGGTACACCCTGAACAGGTCACCAGTCGACCATAGGGCCAAAATGCAGAAAAAAACAACTACTCATGCTCAGAGTCACACCAACGGTCAATATCTAGCCTCCAATTAACCTAATCCCCAACCTGCATGTCTTTGGGCTGTGGGGGGGGGAGCTGGAGTACCCGAGAGAAAACCCACACAGACAGAAGAATATGCAAAACTCTTCTCTTAGAACTCTCAGATCCTGTGACCAGCTGCTGGCTGCCCCTTGGTCAAGGCTAAAGGGTAAAGGTGATTGATCTTTTACTGTCGCCACAACAAAACTATAAAACAGCTTATCTTTTACAATTAAGTGATTCCCCCTTCCTAAGGTTAAACTGAAGACCTGAATATTCTCTCAGGCTATTGACTGTCCATAGTTTTTTTTAATTTACTTTTTATCTTATTATATTATATTATATCATATTGGTATTTTTATTCTTGTATTTTTCTTTGTTTTTATTCACTGTGCAGCACAGTGGACAACTCTGGTGTGTTTCAATCTGCTTTATAAAGAATTTTGAATAAGAGAGATGTACTAACTCAAACCACCTATAACAATCACCACCTATACGTGATACTAACCTCAAATTACACTAATCACTGCCCCTCAAAATCCCCCACACTCATCTGTGTGTAAACTCTGCCATCCCGTGGCTGACTGCGTGAAACTCTTCACACTCCGGAACCAACGCGTTGGTTCCTACCCGAGCTGCAATGCGCGGTGCACCGTAAACGCTAATGTTTTGCATTGTGGTGACACCGCTGCTGCTCCTCGTTGTAGTTAGTGAGTAAAACCATTCTGACCTTGTATCTAATGAATGACGTGATGTTTGTGTTCACTTGATAAAGAGCAGAAGTGACACGTTCAGCTCTTCCATTTTAAAATGTCACAATCCCTCAATGACAGTTTGGTGCTTGCTGGTTGCGTTAGCTTTAGATGCTAACATGCTATTAACAGAATGTAGTCCGTGGTATTAAACCATGGATGTAGAAGTTGTCAGCCTTGGCTGGTGTATAAACTCACACACGCAGTATTAGCAGTAGATATTATAAACTGGTGGCAGACAGATTAGCTTTAACTGGGGGACTGTTGTTCAAGCCTAATCGAGCCGTCATTCACAAATTTGGAAATTAATGCTTTAATGCACATATTTCCAGCTTTATATTTGCAGAATCTTTTTTTTAAGGTTTGTCACCGATTCCCTACGATCCACTCATCAATTCGGCATGCATCTAATCCAACTAGTTTTAGGTTAAGTTATGCTAGCACAAATTACAATCATAATTTTGCTCAAGCTACCTACAGCCTTCCTTGGTGTATTTAGGTGGTCAACCAGTGCGACTGGTGTTCACTCCCTTTAAATATTATTGCTGAAATACACAGTGGATCATAGGTGTGCTTCTGGTGAGCTGCATGTAAATCCTGCTTTTTCCTTAGCTTCATTATTTTCTTCCTGTTTCTGTCTCTCATTCACCTGTTTATCCAGCCAATGGTCTGACACCAGCTGGCAGAGATGCCGTTCAAAGATCTTCCCAGGGAGGCCCTGCTGCGACCCTTGTCCCGGAATGAAGTGGTGGGCATGTTGTTGAGGTTGACCATCTTTGGTGCAGCCACGTACTACAGCATCAAATGGGTTGTAGACGCTATGGATCCTACGGCCAAACAGAAAAACCAAGCCAAGAAAAGGGTATGTAGATCACATACGCATGAAATTGTTCATTACGACAAGGTCGAGGTGGAGAGTGCTGTCAGTGTAACAGACATTGTTAAGAAATGAAATGAATGACTGGAGCAGCATTTTTGCTCTTATCTTTTAAGTCCTTCTGTCTTCAGCTGTCGCTTATCTCTCCAGGCAGAGCAGTTGATGAAGAGGATTGGTGTGGAGGGGGTCAAACTAACAGAGTATGAGATGAACATTGCATCTCACCTAGTCGATCCACAAACTATGAAGGTAACAGTTGTAATCCTCAGTCTGTGACGCTAAGCTGATCAATAAACAAAGACAAACTTCCACTGTGCTCTCCCTGACAAGAGCTAAAGACAGAGTTTTTCACAGTCTTCTATCTTCCTGCAGGTGTCCTGGAGAGATATAGCGGGTCTGGATGAGGTTATCAATGAACTGCAAGACACCGTCATCCTTCCCTTTCAGAAACGACACCTCTTAGCTGGATCCAAACTCTTTCAGCCTCCTAAAGGTACCACAGCATGTCACCTGAAAAGAACTGAAATGGTCAAATTGTACACATAGATTTAAATTTACAGACTTAAAGATTAAATTAAATCAACTCATTCCAGCAATTGTGAGAGATGTACTTACTAATGGAGTGGAAATGTCACATTGAGATCTGTAACAGAATAAGAAAGAACGTATAGGGGAATCCTTGAATACCTCCCTCTTACAATTAATGACTAATATACATGGTGTGCTTTAAACACTGTGCTAATACCATCAGCAGACGCTCACTGTCTTACTTGATGATATGCCAAGTTTGTACTGTGGCCAACTTCTTGTTCATATTACGGATTTCGCATCAACACTCTGCTTGTTAGTGAAATTTGTGTTTGGATTGAGATCAGGAGACAAACTTGGCCAGTGAAGACTACTGTTGCAATAAGAATCAAATTACTGTTAAAGTCTCTGTTTGACTTCGATCACAAATATTATTTTAAATTATACAGTTTGCATTTCTCCTCCTCATTATTGCCAGACAGCCGTCCAGTACATCAGTTTCCATCTGTAGCTACAGCACATTTGGAAAGTTTTCTGATGCCAAATTTTAAGTTGCAACCTTATACTAAAATGTATTTAAATATGTGTTATCGGTCTAAGTTTAACATCCCATACTGGCAAAGCAAAAACATGATTGTAGAAAATCTGTMAAAMTKAWAWATAAWGRKMACATAAGTACCTTGTGTCATAAGACATGACACAAGAACATAAGGACCTTTTTGACATCTGAACTTGAACTCATATCTACCATTTCTCTTCATCATCTTTGTGATGTTTTTTAGTCTTTGCTTGGAGAAAAAAATCAAGCCGTGAAGGTTGAAAGAACTACCTGCAGAACTCAAATACTTTTTTAGTTGAGGCACAGACTTAAGGAAGGCAGCAAAACAATCTGTAACAGTGAAGGTTCAGAGGAGCCACAGTGGCCTCTGTAATTCTCAAAAAGAAGAAGTTTGCGACAAAAGATGAATACCTACTCAATCTGAGTGACAGAGTGGGGAGAAAGACCTTGGTGAAAGAGTTTACCAAAAAACATGATAGTCACTCTTGCCAAATTCCAGAGATCCTGTGTGGAGACGTGAGAAACTCTTAGTGACAATCATTATTGCAGCACTTCACTGGTCTGGGTTTGATGGCAGAGTGGGAGAACATTATTATATTTATATGTTAGCAGATGTGCAACAAAACAAAAATGAAAAGTTCTGAATATGACCACTTAGAGGAGTACTTTACTTTTGGTTTTATACAAAACTTCAGGATGAGTCATTCTCCAGAATTTACTGCTTTGTGGAATACACTTCCATTCTTAGACTTTTTATCTATGTCATGTAGCTATTAAAAAGTTTATTCTGTGGGAACAGATGTGGTTCAACTGGGGCAACCTCTCTGTTTGTATATGTAGGAGAGAGCACCATGTAAGGAAAGAAAGATCGCCTCAGTGTTTAGCAGTGGTCCATCCAAAATCGTGTGAATAATCTTCATATTTTATAGAACTAGGAATTCGAAAAGGAAGAACTAAAAAAGAAAAGGTTGTCAACAGTGATTCTCAGTATCTGTGTATGTTATGTCCTTACAGGAGTTTTATTATTTGGTCCTCCCGGATGTGGGAAGACCATGATCGCCAAGGCAACAGCCAAAGCTTCAGGGTGCAAGTTTATCAACCTTCAGGCCTCCACACTGACGGACATGTGGTACGGCGAGTCACAGAAGCTGACTGCTGCTGTATTCTCATTGGCTGTCAAAATCCATCCCTGTATCATCTTCATTGATGAGATCGGTGAGTGAATCTATTACCTGGAAAATGTTACTTTATTACACTGTCAGTTGTGACCTTCCTTTCCTTTAGAATTTCATCCTTGTTACACTGAAAGCAGCCTTTAAATCCAGAAGAGAGATATTTCTTTAGCAGCTCATTTATTGCTCGGCAGCTTGTTACAGAGTAGTGAGGGGGGTTTCATATCACTGTTTACAGACACATACCCCTGAACCTGCTAAGCTCATTCATAATGTCCTCTGTTATGTCAGTGTAGCTCAGGATTGGACACGGTGAGCACCGCCCACAGACACAATCGTGACTTGTTTATATTCTGATGAATTGTCATTTTTGAAAGACTGCTGAATCAACGATTCAAACAGTAGCTGATTGCAATGTACCCATGGATTGCAAACAATTACTTTGATTCTTTAGGAAAACTTAAAAATGTGAGGATTCCTAGAAAGTTATACAATATAAAGAACATCTTTCTTTCTATGTGGCTTTTATTTATGATGGACATTATGGGTATTGGTGGGTTACAAATGTCTGAAATCACTTTCACATTTAAGTCAATGAGAGAATTTTGGACCCCGCTGTCTATCATTGTAAAGTCAAAGTCAAATAAATCTAAAAAATGTTTTTATCTTGTGTGAGTGTTTGTGTCACTTCTAGTTGAGTGTGATTTTTGGCACAAAGTGTGGTAATCAAGTACTGAGGTAGCTTTATTGGCTCCTTAGTAGTTTGTGAGTCGTCCAAAATTATCCAGCCACATTTTTATATCTCACTTTTTTTCAAAACACTGGCAAGTGTCTGTCCTTTTTACCTCATACAGTATCTTTGCCTTTCTTCTCTCCCTCACAGTTCTGGCGTAGGATAACACAACATGCTAAGAGTGATTTGGGCTATATCAGCCTGATGTATAAGCAGGATGATCCTATATCATGCCCCTGGAATAGCCCAAACCAATTTCAACCTTGTTGATTTCAGTCGATTATTCTGACTTTTGTTTAAACTCAGTTTTCGTGGTTTGATTTTGTCCCTTGTCTCTTGTCTGTTAGAGTCATTTCTCAGGAATCGCTCCAGCCTCGACCATGAGGCCACAGCCATGATGAAGGCACAATTCATGAGCCTGTGGGATGGTCTGGACACTTCGTTAACCACCCAGGTGACACAACCAAAGCTTTTTCATATTTAGTTTCATGCCCACAAGAATCACACCTTGTACACATTGGAGTGTACACGAAAACAAGACATCCCACCTGGAAGCAGGTGCTTATTTTAGTACAATCTTTTCACGCTGTGGTTCTTATCGTTATAGGTTATGGTGATGGGAGCCACAAACAGGCCACAGGATGTGGATCCAGCCATCCTGCGCAGGATGCCCACCACTTTTCATGTTGGCCTCCCGGTAGGACGCAGACACATGCACCACAACAGTTTTCATGTTTGTAGAATAATTCACAACTGCAATACATACACAATAAAACATGTTGGAAGAATCATGTTTACTCCTACTCTGTTTTACAGAGGTATCCAAAGGTCTGAGACCACTTTCCCATTCAAATAAATAAGGAAAATCTACTTAATATTTTCAAACATTGTTCAATTTAAATAGAAAAACTCAAGAATGATCCTTAATTTGCAGATAATTAAAAATGTTGTGTGCCCCAGTGTATTATCACCTTCATTTTTGACTGTGCTTTTAAATTTACATCAAGTAAAAGAGGCTGAAACGTACTGAAGTGCGTTTCCCAGATTGTCTAATGGATTCTGGCCAAAGCACAAACTATATTTTCTATCCAGTACATTTAACACTTTCTTTACATGTCAGACACAAAGTAACTGTACGTGAGCTGTTCATGTTTAACAGTGGAACAGGAAAGGAGATGAAACACTTTCAAAACACTGATGTGTACCAACCAATTGAGAACTTTTTCAGTGAATGATACTTGTATATGTGTGTATATGTTCACACTTGTATATGTTCAGGGAGTTGATGTGTTAGTGTCTTAGTGCAATTAGACAGTCTCCTTTATTTTTTGATTCACTGCACATTAATCTGACTCTTTTCTAACAATCAATTGTTATTTTGACTTTGCAGAGCACAAGACAGAGGCAAGATATCCTGAGGCTGATTTTAGCAGGAGAAAACGTAAGATGTGATTTCTTTTCATCCTAATCAGCTGAGGAACAAATAATTTAATTCATATCTTTGTTTTCTTCAATCTTAGTGACCATATTACTTCTGTTTTTTCGCTGTCAAATTACTCTACCATGATCAGTTGGCAGCAGCAAACACAGCTAAAGATTAATTTGCACATTGTTTTCTCTTATTGCTGTCCTGCTTTTCTGTTCAGTTGAGCAACGCCATTAATCTGAAGGAGATTGCAGAGAGGACAGAAGGCTACTCAGGCAGCGACCTGCGGGAGCTTTGCCGCGATGCTGCCATGTACCGGGTGAGGGACTACGTCCGCAAGGAGCAGATGAGGCAGATTGCTCAGCAGCTACAGGACTATGAGGAGGAGGACGATGAAAAGTATGACTCACTCAGACACCCACAAGATTCCATAGCCTTTGTGTCCACTGGCATCTCTTTGTTCGACTATAGTACTTCCCTAAACACTCAGAGGTTAGACCACTGTGGGTTTTTGAAAGATATATGTACATACTGTTACTCTCAAACTTTAAATTTGGCTATTTAATGCTGCAATAATCTCATAAATTAATGATTTGACTTTTTTTAACAAAAAGGCAATATTTAGACTGGGATGTTGAAAGTGATCAGTGTAAAACACCAATGGACAATCATTCATAACAAATATTGTCTCAATAAGTTTAGGTTGAGCTCTCTTATTTATTTCAACTGCTGGAATATAGATTGCAAAATAATGTGTCATTGAACTGAGTTTTGTTACTGGTGGATCAGGTGGATTTTTAAAGCAGTCTAAATATCTGTGTAACCCATGTGACAGCTCAGTCAAAACACAAAAAGCTAGGAATGCTACCCAGATGTGGTGAGGTATGTTCCACTGGTGCTCTTCAGTTTGGGGACCCAGAAAGACAAGTTGGAGGAATCTGAGGCACTTATCTCATGGCTATTAAATCACATCAACAGTAAAAACATGTCTAAATAGCCTTTCTTGGGCTGTTGCCAGGTGACTTGAAACCCCTCCAACGTAGTATTGTTAAAAGGAGAAGTAATTTTATTTTCAATAACACTAAACTCATGGTTGTGCGTGCGTGTGTATGTTCACACTGGGAAAGTGACAAAATCACAAACTCACAGTCAAACTTAAACACCATTCATCTTTCTCTGTTGACGGACTTTTCCTCTACAATTCAATACATGAAGCTAAGGAACTGCTTGCAACTGGGAAAAATGAATTCTTGGTGGAGGTGAAACAGCTTCAGGAACCCATCAGAAAACAATAATGACAGTTTCATTTATGGTTCAGCGGTTTGTCGTCTCTGTAGATTATTTGTCAGTGGCATTCTACAGCCACGGGCTGTGTCTCAAATTGGATGCTTCTCATATGTAGTTCACTGTGTGCATTGCAGTGTGTGAATTTGCACAGGGTGGTGTCTCAGAACAAACGGGGCTGTTGTGTGCTCATCGAAATGACTCTGGCAATATCTGGCCAAAAACATCTACCGGCTTTGATCACTTGACTTTAAAAGGAACATTTTGCTCTCTTGCGTGTGTAACTTATCATGCGACTTGGAAATGATGCCGACATGTCGCCCTTCTTCAGGCGCCATTTTCATAAGTTTGAAAGTTTGTTGATGGTGACTCCCTATCCAAGATGGCGACCGCTGAGGGTGAGAGGTGTCCATCATTTTACACTCAACCATGTGACCGATTAGAGTTCACCATGCGACATGTTGCCACACCTTGCAGTGTGAATGTACATGTATGTTTAAAATAGCAAGCGTGTGTATGGAAGTACTCACATTGAGACACGGCAAAAGTTTGATTGATGTTCAACAGCTGATGTATGATTTCATGTTAGTTTCAAATGTACAGTACAGTACATTGATTTATTTATATACTACTGTAATGCACTATAAAGAGTAGTATAATGTGTAGTATGGAATTGCCACTGTTGCTCTTGATATTGTATACTTCTCTTCTTGACCTCTGACCTCTTCTTCCAGACCTATGGATGAGGAGAGGTTGCGACCGGTCACCCAGCTGGACCTCCTCTTTGGCCTGGACAAGATGAAGGAGTCTAAGAAGGCCACAGCCTTCATGTTACCCAGCGTGTCGGATGTTCCCCTGGACTAAACACCAACGCACTGGCAGGGAAACATTTTCTTCTCAGTTTTTTCCAAAGTGTGTTACAGCTCACAAAGCAGAGACTGCTCGATCATACTGAGGTGCTGTTGGGCAAATGAATGGACATATTAATCATCTTTCTCAAACTCTTATTTATTTAGGCAGAGGTTGTTGTTCTGTGCATGTTCATTTTTTTTTGCACAGCCTCACCACGTGTACAGTTAAAACACAGTCTTCTCTTAGTGACCCCTGACAGCTCCACTAGAGCGATTTACTGTCACTGTCTTGCTCCAGTGCACCAGGACAGTTTTTCTGGGAGGGGACAAGGCATATTTCATAAAGTTTATGAATCTCATAAGTCATTCAATGTTTGGACTCCAGATCAGCGTCACCATCCTTCAACGTTTGCTGCTTGATTTTTAAGGGCACTTGGAGAGTACATACCCGCGCCAAGGCTGATTGGCCACTTTATCACCATATTGCATGTATTCAGAATGTGAAAACATTTGTTCATTTGTTTATCCGATCCAACATTTGGTGGGTTCTTCCTTTGGTCGTGTTCCATCCCTCTACAAAATTCCATTGAAATCGCCTCAGTCATTTTTGTTTCTAATTCTGCTGACAGAGACAACAGACAGACAGACAGCAATTAAAACATGACTTCATTTTAGAGATTACTATCAATCCTAACGATTCAAAGACTTAAATCTTTTTAAAACAATGTTATCTTAGTTCTTAAAATGGTTCAGCTAATCCCAAAGTCTCATCACAAATACTCAGTGATGGATTTCATTAATATCAATTTTCCAAATGAGACGACATCTGGAAAAAATTGACTTTCAGGAGGATCAGTATCCACTCACTCAAGTATTAATCATTTGTCATCATGAATGTACTAGTCTCACTTTGAAAACCACTCCAGCTCTGTTTACTTGCTGTTGTCTTTACCTGAATCAATTTTCTTTCTCCAGGTGGATATGCTGAAACTATTTAGACTTTTGTTAAGCTGACAAAAAGTTTTATGTCTTCACTTTGCTTTCATTTATATTTATTTTCATAGCTGAGTTTTTATTTTATTGTTTGATCACATTTATTTTTGCAGTAACTTGTAACTTCAAGTAAAAAATGTCCTGCCTGTAGTCATGAGGTCAGCACTGCTGTGGAAGCTGTCAGGTCACAATATGCACATGAAGAAGAAGAGGAAGAGCAGAGTCGGGCAGCCAGGGGTGAAATTTAACAGGTTGGCAGGAGCTGGCCACTACATCCTTCCTCTGGGATATCATGAGCCCATAGTCATTGTACATTATGACAGGACTGCTTTAGTTCTAGGCACAAATTCAATCACATAGTGTATGTGTTTGGTCCAAACAGCCAATAGCAATGTAGCCTGAGTGCAGTTGTTTCCCAGAAGTGTAGACAACAACACGAACATCCACGTATCAAGTGGTACCAGTGTCCTAACTTTAATAGAAACCTCAGATATAATGATGCAAGCGCAGGGAAGCAATACAACACACATCTTTTAATCTTGCTGATCTTTATCCTAAATGGCCGTAAACACATACCTAACTTAACTGTTGTATCTTGTCTCAGCCGTTCGCAGGTGCATCACTTGTATCATGGGTGTTGTGCTGTATGAGTAAAGAAGAGAAATATCGGGTTAAAGTTAAGGCCAAGACTTCACTAAAGTTACCAAGTCTGCTGAAAGGTTTGTTTGTGTGTTAAATACTGCTTTGTAACTTCTCAGCTTCACATTTGTTACCATCCAAAGAGACAAAAGCTCAGACTTTTTTAGTGTCACATTTACTGTGTCATTATTATTATTAGTGAGCTCCTGTGTTTTTTCCTTTGAATGTTTTTATTATGGACTTTTCATGAAATGTTTTAATCTATCAATCAGCAACTGACAGCAGTGTTACTTTGACAGCACCCATCAGAGTTACTTTTATTCTCACTTCATGGAGGGCCTTTAAAATGCTCTCAATGAGCCACCAGTGGGAAGTTGTTGTGACAAGCTTTTCTGCCTCTGTACAAAAAGCCTCATTGTTTTCCATATGGTCACAGCGTGTGTCCGTGGGTCTGTTCAAGCCTCACCCGCAGACCTTTTCTCCCATGCACTCGGAGCTGGAATCCAGGGCAAAGCTGTAATTCAAACATGACCAGGTGGTGGCACTATAGCCTCACTGTCCCTCACTGAGGCAGGTGTCACAGGCTGACAAAGGTACACTGCTTCTATTTTTGATCAGTTTTATAGCATTTTGGTGAGACAATGAAATAGAGAAGCCTGCATACTGGATTGTTTCTTCATTATTGGTTCATTGGGTGATCTTTAGAAATGTGCTGCTCTTCATTTGAGTACCTCAGCTTTCAGTTAAAGGTCAAAATGCCGTGTTGCCATGTAAACCATGTAACTGTCGCTGCTGGCAAGTCTTGTTTACCTTTCCAAAGGTAACACCTGTTTGTTTCTCTCTCGTGCAATATCACTCAAAAGGCTGTTCATCAGTTAGAGACTTGGATTTATGAATACACTCTCCATATGCACTTACTGTAAATTATACTGTCAACTATGTGTACGTGTCTGATATGTTGAACACTGTAATTATTAAATTACACTTATATGGATGTATGCTTGGCACTTGTGGCAATGGCTTTTTTTTTTTTACCAACGAGGCATATCTTGATTGTTTTGTTTTAATTTTGGGAGTCAGCTACTTTATATTTGGAATCGACTAATTTATTATGATCTGTGTGTACAATCTTTGGAGGGAAATCAGAGTTAATATTTATTACAAATAGGTTTTTACAGAATCGACTAATGAAAAATAAGGTTTATAAATGTGTAAAAGGATTTGTGGGGTACTCAGAGATGTGTACCCAGTTCTAGTCTACACACAAAAAACAAGCGGTTTAAACCCATGTTAAATATTTTTTTTGCAGACATCACAACCTGAATAAATAGTGGCTGTTTTCCTAGCAGAAGAACAAGTCCACATCCTGGCAGTAGCTCATTCGAATCATAAATTTACACTCCTCTGTCTTTAGTTGGCAAATGTATGTGGTCTAACAGCTGGGTATAGGGGAGGTGTTCTGTCTGTTTAGAAAAACGTCTCTCCCAATTTCTCTATGAAATGGATTTTGTGGTGGTTTCCCTGCTGAGTGAATAGATAGCTTCTTACCGCCACTGGCCCGCCTGCGGGATGCTAGCACCATGGATAACTCTCCCCCACAGTTAAGTTATATATGAACATCTAAAAGATTTTCATCCTTTTGGAGAATGAAAAACATACTTGAAAGCTAATTTCTTGCAGAGGTGTTAGGATTAACGTCAGCATACCTCTGCTTAACATTCGTATCACATTGACACCAGGGAAACACTGTAGAACTATTACTGCTATATTCAACCTGTGTGTCTGTATACAGTAGCTGTCTTGGGGGGGTTGATGGGTGAAGAAGTTATTTCCATCCAAGAAACCACACACTTTCCTTAACATGTGGGATGACAGAACACTAAATTGACCTTTCTCTGCTCTGCATGTGCAGCCACCAGCACTACGATGACAAAGCAGCAGGGAAGGCTTCTAACATCCAAAGCCCCAATGTGTTCTGGGATTTCACGCCTAATGTAACCAGTATAATTCAAGAGAGTGATGCCAATAAGTGCAGATAATTGTTGCCTCCAGTGTGGACGGATGGCGAGGTGATATTTACTCTTCAGGTTTTAATGAGGCAAAGTCTGGAGTGGTTTCCACCAACTAAGTTCTGCAAGCATGCATGTCTGAGCTTTGACTCAGAACCATTGATTAGTTATTCATAAAGCTATTGATGTGTTATTCATGAAGAGGGAGTCAAAGTGAAAGTCTCCATTCCGGCTATTTTCAATTAGAGGAGGACAGCTCCCAGTCGATAAACATGATGGAAGAAGCTCTCTCTCGCAGCACAGCTGGCTGGAGATGTCAAAGGCTTCCCATGGAGCAGAGAGCTCAGGCGCACAGAGATTCACTTTTGTCTGGCCATGGTCTGTCAGTACAGCAGCTCTCAGCGCTGGTCTGATGGTCTCAACCTTTTTTCCATCAGATAGGAGAGAGTGTATAATGGTCCCACTCTCTGTGACAGTTCTCTGAAAGCCTCAGTGCCATCGGACATGATCGAGCGAGTCCAAAGAAATCTATGGCAGCTGTTATCCCTGCCGCAGTTCTCAGCAGGATATCCTGTTGCCTGCTGATGCCTGGGGTTTTATAGCCGGGGTAGATAACTCACAAAGCCACATTACATAAGCATATGAAGTGCCATAAATACAGTGGGATTCAAGGAGTCCCAGAAAGAAGCTGCAGAGTGAGAGGACAGCATTTGTTTATCCTCTACTGTGATCATTCTTGACTTTTTAAATTCAGTGGATCGTTGTGTTTTTAACAGCTAAATATCCCACATACATAGAGAACAAACTTAAAGGTTCAGTGTGTAGAATTTAGTGATACAGTATCGTTGAAATAGCATGTTGCAGCTGAACACCCCTCACCTCACCCTCTCCTTCCAAACATGAAAAAGAAACTGTGGAAACCTTCAGTTGTCATAAAAACTCAAAAGGTGTTCAGTTTGTCCAGTCTGGACTAATGTGAAAAACATTGTGACCACCGTAGAGATGGTCCACTCGATGTAAATATAATTTTCACATTAAAATATAAAGTATTTAAATATAAAGGACCTTTTCTGGGGTAAAGAAAACAACAATTCATACAATTTAGATGAAACAAAGTACTGAAAACTTCATGAGGATTATTCTACATTAAATTTCTGCCAATAGTTCCATTTCACCTAAATCTTACACACTGGACCTTTAATTAATTGTGTTTAAATAGATGTTTTTCCAATGTTTCAAACAATATCTTAAATTCAGAGGGAAGTATCATGTTTGAAGTATCTTTCACTATTTACATTTAAGTGAAGAGTCCATGTTTTTGTCTGTACACTAACTTTGAAGCTATAACTAGCAGCTAGTGAACTAACAACTAAGAATTGTCTGGCACTGTGCAAAGGTACCAAAATCTGCCCAATCACACATCTGAAGCTCAATTACTAATGTAATTTGTTGAATTTGTACCAAAATCAAAAGAAATGCCAGATTGCAAGCTCTATTAGTTGCCTGGCAACCTGACAACAACATGTATTTTTGCACTAGTTTTTCTAGCTGTTTCCACCAGCATCATATTTAAATAAAGATTGGATAGGTACTGTATTTATCCCGTTTATGCCATTGCACATACAAGAAGATTATTGTCAGCAGTCCACATAAGAAAGAAAGAGAATTCACTCAGAGAAAAGAGAAGCTCCTATATTTGAAAAAGACACAGACAAAAATGCATTGCACAAAACATCCCATACAGACAAATTATTGTGCGTAAGGGTGTTAGGTAGAAAGTATCTCAGTTTAAAAAAAAAATAAATGTTTATTTAACATACAGAGTAGTATTTTCTTATCTATAACTCTTGAAGCGAACAAGTTAATTTCTCAAAATATGTATTCATGTCCCCATGAATATGATAGATCTGGGTTGGCTGTAGAGACAAATCATGACAAGAAATTCACATTACATTTTTCCATGTCCAAAAAAGGGCAGCCATTCAGGAGCTCCACAGCTTCATTTAAACTTGGCTCGAACAACTATGTGTTTTGGAAGTTATCCAAGAGCTTCTATGAGGCCATTGATAGTAGAATTTTCCAAGAGAATGTAAAAAATACCCAAATTGTAGTTTTTAATGACGATAGAAACGTGTACATTTTTATTACTGCACTGAATACACTGGTAAATCATCATCATCCATGGGTGCAGTTCCCCGCCCTTGTGTGTGAGATCCTGCAGCCTCTGTGGGTCTGGGTCTTTGGTTGCGTGCTGTCTGTTTCTGCTGGATGGACAAGAAAGGTCTCACCTACATTAACCAATCTCTGTATGAGCTCGGCCTGAACCCTTTAATAATGCTTGTGCTTCATTATTTGTGTAAATTCTACAACTGTGTTATTGTAAAATCCTTAGGAGCCTCACTCACCATTAACCAGGGTGCTGTGAAGAAGGGGCAGCAAATGATCCAATTCATGTGTTGACATCACATTAAAATATCTTTACAAATCAACTAAGCTCTGTGTAATCATTGCAGACTTTATGGCCCAAAGGGTTTAATTGAAGTCGCAACTAAAAAAAGGCTCAGGGATGGCTGGGAAGGGGGCAGTTGTGTAGTAAAAACCCCTTTAGGATGATCATTAAAAGCCAAATAAAATAAGCCATGATGCATGATGAGACTAAGATACGAAGCTGACCAGCACCCCCTCAGACTTAGTTGCCTGCAGAGAAATTGAGTTGGGTTGTCTGCTGTCTGATTCCCGGAAACACAACCAAGGCAGCTTAGACTGAGTCATAAACCACAATCCAAAGATTAACTATTTGAAATTTTCGTTACTGAAGCTTTTGTTCTCTTCATTAATGGTTCTTTACCTGACTTCTTCCTCTTGTTGTGACCAATAATCCACTGATAAAGCAAAGAGAAGCTGTGAAGCAATAGACACGTTTGCATGGACAGCATTATTATTGATATTATCCTAATTAAGACACTACAATGTAAAAAGCCGTTTTTGATTAACTTGAAGCAAAGTAAAACAAACAAAAACTGTATTAATATATAATATGTCTACGTCCTAACAACATGATAAAGTCCTTTTGGAGTTTTAACAGCATTTTGTATTTAACAGTTAAAAACTGCTTGAAGACACGTGACCAGGTGTAAACTAGTAGTAGGGCGTGATAGGAAATGGGAACATGAATGAAGAATGTCTTATTCAGAAAAAGGTCAATAATCCGAATATTGCTGTCCATGTAAACATAGTCAGCATCAAAAAGGATAAAATATGTTACGATGTATCCTACACCTCTGAGTGGAAAAGCTTTTAAATGAAAAGTAAACATCTGTTAAAGTGAAATGTTGGCCAGCAGCTGAGAATATATAATATGATATCAAGGGTGAATTTGGGTAATGTATGTTTATTTCCTGTTCTAACAATATCTAGTCGACAAGACTTTTACTCTAGGTTAACATGGACATCATGTGACTGAAATCACATGACTTCATGGGGGTGATGTCACATAAAGAGGCGGCGCAAATGTCAATCAGTAATATTAACAATATAAATCTGTCATAAATAAGACAATGTTCCGAATTGTTGTGTCTGTGATGTATTCAACGTGGAGAAGACAGTGGGCTGATAGATGATGATGGTCCTCACCTGCGAGGACTGTTTGATTCCTGAGGAGCCCCAATAGAATGTAAAATTACTTAAGGAATAATATGTTATTGTTATTTTTCCTGCTGTTCATTGAATTTTATTGATTGTTTTAAATATGATATTTGATATAGTATTTTTTAAAAGCCTAAAACATGTGTGCTACATCACAAAGTGACCTGTCCCAGATGATCAAATTCAGGAAGAATTTCATTTTTGGCACAAAGACACTAAAAGCTGTGTAATGTCTTTCTTTCTTCTGGTGTGGTTCTGATGACAGAAAGGTATATGTTGAGATAATGTTTAAAACAGAATAAATTGCAGAAATTGCTAAACATTTCACAGATAACCCAAA